ACTGATTTGGGGGGGGGGGGGCAGCAGGGAAGGAAATCTAAAATTCCTGGCTCCAAGTCACATACTCCAAGCATCTGATCTTTCTTCTTCTACATTAGCAATGTTGGTGATTCAGTAGGTGGCTTCTCTGTCCTGAGACAGTGAACAAGCAATCCAGTGTACTGGAGGTTAGGTCTTGTACAGGAAACATTACACTGAAATCCTCTTGATTGATTGCCCATAGGCATTGAAGATCCCCTGGTATTTTTCCCTCTACGAGCAGTACTACTTGTGCAAGCATCCTGGACAAATTCAGATTTGGTTAATTACATTCTGCCTCCCTAAAAAACTCTCCCTGCGGAGCCAATCAGATATTATATTCATCCTTACTTTGCCTCTTCTCCTCCTGTGTAGCTTTGCAGTGTGGCTGTGTACTTTTCAAAGAACTGAAGCATTCCACCAACATGGAAGTACTATATATCTATTCGTGGTGCTGTGCAGCAGGTCACTGACCATCTCTCTGCCTTATATTTCCCCCATTTTGAGAAGAGTGGCTAACAACATCCTTTTCCACTTACAGCTCTCAAGACACTCTATAAAAGCCAGGTAAGCATTATTGTCCCTGTTTTACAGCTGGCCTAAGTGCAGAGGAATTAACTAATTTGTATGAGAGTCACAAGGACTTAATTAGTAAGATCTGGCTCTCCTCCTCTAGCAATCAGTGGTCTGTTCAGCTGTCTCCTTCATAACCAGTCACATTTCAAACCCTCCTGACAATGGGGCTTATGAACACTGCCTAGATCAAGACTGTCAGGGTACCTGAGGAGCACATGTTTTAACCCAGTCTTGGTACTTTTAGCTTTGTGGAGGGTTCCATCCTGGCAGGCATAACCGGCAGGCTCAGAACCATGAGTGAAATATTTGCTATTGCCATGTTTTTCTTTCCATCAGCTTCCTGGATAGAGAGCCATGCTGAGTTTTCAAATATCAGCAGTTTCTTAACTCTTCCTGCTCTGGCAAACTCTCTTCCTCAGTGTGCCAAGGTGCAAATCTTCCTGGGTCTAAAGATGTTCTAATGCAATATAATAATATTCTTTGGCAGAGAAAGACAGGAATACAAAGAGAATGCTGGGCTCTTGTTAAAAGGAGAGCAACAGTCTAGTTCTTAAAGAGCTGTAACTTCAATCACCTGAAAGCACCATGTTTTTCTTTTTGTTTTGTATTTTTAATTTGCAAAAGACAAAATGACACCATGACTGCAATGTTAACTGTGAAGAAACTGTTCCATTCCATAAAAAATAACATCCATCTGCAGCATCAAGATGGAACAATCATCCTTCAGTAACCTCAGCTGAATAGCTCCAAAAATATGGGCTCCTACTTACTTGTGTAAGATGGAGAAAGTGCTGTCAGATATAGCAACACCATGATGTTCTTTCTGAACTCCAGTTAAGCAAGACAGGCATATTCATGGGCAGATATTGCCCCTCATCCATACTGGAGGCTCAGTGTGCACTTGGTCTTCACTGGGATTCTGTGTGGCTGCAAAGGTCTATCTATGTAGATTGGGGCCTATGTAGGATTGGGGCCTTGGGTCTCAATGCAGCAACAAGTAACTTATGTGCAGTCTGCACTGTTTAAGTGCATAGACTGAGGACTGAAAAGAGGCTATGTACTCCCCTAAGGTATGCACATATCATAATATAAACAATCAGTGCTCAGTAGGTAGTTAATAGCTAATATATATTTAACCACAGTTCCATTAAGTTAAAAAGTAGACCGTGGGGTTCAAATCTGTAAGGGTTTCATGTGTTTAACTAGATAACTAGAGTTTGTTACAATGTAAGCAATAGGTGACAAAGTGGGACTGCCCTTGTAATGAATTATGCATTTATCTGGCACATGAATAAGTGGAATGCACTCCATGTTATAAACTTTAAATACATGGATAATGTACTGCATTGGGACAACAGTGCACAATCCCATTCCCACTGGAATTGGTGACAATAAGAGGAACAGTCCCTTTGAAACTGGGGTGGGGGAGGGAGAACTTTACTTAACTACAGGCTGCTTATTTCCTAATAAAAGCTAATACATGAGCCTCCAGAGAGATTCAGCAAAACTGAAAATGTGAAGGGAATACATTCTAAACAAGTCTTAGACCTAAATAAAAATCTCAAGACAAAGTAATTTTAAGCTTGGAACCTTTACATCCTTGTCACCTGCCTCAATGAGTTCAGCAAAACTAGTAGGCATCTGTCTTGTGAGACAATAGAATTGTGCCAAATGAGACACCAGCTTGCTGAACACTTGTGAGTGTGGCCAAACAGCCTAAATCATGAGTGACAGTCCCTTCCGCACTTATCCCATCTGACGTTTGTATCAAACAGTCCTGAATGTGGTGCAGGGTTCTTCCTGAAGTGTCTTCTTTCTTCTGCATGTTGGGCTCTTTCCTCAAAACTTTTTTTCCATGCTTAATAAACTGTTTCCAAGTGTTTCATTCCTTGGCAATCTTCTCCCAGTCATTTGGCTGGATGTTCATTGCCTCTATATCTCACTTGCAAGTATCATTTTACAGGAAGAAGACCATGTGGGCATCCTTTTCTCAAGCGCAGAGCTCTCCATGCAAGAGAACCTTAGGTATATAGCCATCACCCATTGTCTGCATATGACAAGCCATCAAAGTTGATGCTGAATGAATGGATGCTCCAAATGTTGGCATACTCCAAGACTTCAGCATGGCAATTTTGTCCCATGAGGAAATTCCTAGAATGTGGCAATGGCAATGTAAGTGGAAGCTGTTGAGGTGCTTTTATTGAGTGAAGCATGTGGTTCAGGATTCACTGCTGTGCAACAGGGGTGTTGACAGTGTAAGCATGATATACTTTGACCTTGGTCTTAACAGTCAGCTTGTTGTTGTTCCACACTGCTTTGCTCAGCCTGTTCATGACATCTCATACTTTGCTAAAGGGGAATTCAGTTCAGCCTCAAGTAACAGGTTGTTGGTAACAATGGAGCCAAGGTACACAAATTTACTTAGAATGTCTAATATGTCTTCACCTATTGTGATTGCTGGTGGTGAATCAGTGTTTGGCCCATAACACTGGTCTTCTTGATACTGATCATAAGACCAAACCCTTAGCAGATATGAGTGAAGCAATGGATAAGGCTTTGAAGGTGTATCTCAGAAAAACCCATGCACAAAAAAGCGAAGACCGTGCATATTTTAGCATCAGGGCCTAGTTGACTAATCACTAGGAAGCATTGAACATTTTTTTCCCCTTTCAGGTTTTGAAAACCTCATTTCAAATTAACCAAATACTGGAGTCAGTTGGTTGGTCAAGTTTCAGGTCAAACCAATTTTTCAAACCAATTTCCCAAACCAAAACAAAAGGAGAGTGGGATGGAGTTCCGTAATGGATGCCAGCTGCAACTTTAATTATGCTGAAGCCACAGATTTTCAAAATAAAATACAGGTATTAAAATGAAGAAAGCTTAGAGTACACCTTAAAAAAAAAAAAAAAAAAAAAAGGGGTTAAAATAAAAAAAGCTTAGAGTACCCCTTAAAAAAAAAAAACAGGGGTTAAAAAAAAAAAAAGGGGTTAAAATAAAAAAAGCTTAGAGTACCCCTTAAAAAAAAAAAACAGGGGTTAAAAAAAAAAAAAGGGGTTAAAATAAAAAAAGCTTAGAGTACCCCTTAAAAAAAAAAAACAGGGGTTAAAAAAAAAAAAAGGGGTTAAAATAAAAAAAGCTTAGAGTACCCCTTAAAAAAAAAAAACAGGGGTTAAAAAAAAAAAAAGGGGTTAAAATAAAAAAAGCTTAGAGTACCCCTTAAAAAAAAAAAAAAAAAAAAAAATCAAAATTCCAACAAATTTTTTTTTTCTTCACAAATACACTTTCTGCTATTATGTCCCCAACACAGTAGAGGTGTGCCAGGACACTAGTCCCCAACAGTGAAGGTGCCTAGACACCCCATTTGGGTGCTCTCACTTGATAGCAATGGATATGCCCCATCAAGCAAAAGCACAGGTGGGTGCCAATTACACTTCCACTCCTGGGACCTCACTGAGTTCAGCAGACAGCCTAAAAAATGTGCATCAGGCTTTGCAGGATCTTTAATTCAGCTGCAGGCTTCTTGAAAAGATGTTCTTTCAGCTGGCAGCCGCACAGGATCATCATCATGGTAACACAGGGACAGAAAAGGGGGGTGTTGCTCTATGTTGAACCTGCCCAGGCTGCTTCCATCGCCAGCTGCAGAGCCGCCAAAGCTTGCTTAGCAAAACAGGGGCAGATCGGCTGGCTCCGGGGCTGCTGCGCTGCACAACAGGTAGCCGGCTGGGGCTACCTGCTCAAAGCGGCTGAGATTCCTCTGCCCCCTCCCCGGGCTCAGAGGAGACGTCACCGCCCTGAGTGGCTCCAGCAGCTTAAACTCACGTGTCACATGGGCCGGGGGGGGGGAATGGGAGGGAGGAGTCTTAAATCAACCTATATCAGCTGCTGAGAAGCCCTGAGTGACACAAGGGGGCCTCAATGAGAGTGACGGGAGCCAGGGAACATGAAGTTTTGGCAACTCACACAGCCAATGAGAGGAAGCAGGAGGCAGGGCTCTTTCTCGCTCCCTCTCTCTCTTTTTTTTTTCCTCCTCTTCTGTGTGTGCAAAGATTAGGTTGAGATCCGGTGAGTGGGAGCTGCTGCCTGCTCTCTCTCCCTCTCTTTCTCTCTGCTGCAGCTGGGCTTCAGCAAGGAGCTCCCCAGCCAGCCTCGGGCGAGCCCGACCCCGGCACCAGCCCGCAGAAGAAGGGGAGGCGAAGGCAGAGCAGACCAAAGGACCCCCCACCCCGCACCCCCGGCAGTGGCAATCATGGATCCTTATGACTCGCAGCAAACCAATGACTATATGCAGCCAGAGGACGACTGGGACAGGGATCTGCTTTTGGATCCAGCCTGGGAAAAGCAGCAGAGGAAGGTGAGTGCCCTCCCCTCCTCTCCGAAAGCATCCTAGGGAGATCCGAGAGCAGGGGGTGGGGGCTGCGGTAGCTCCATTAGCCCGGAGTGTTGGGTTACAGGCAGCGTGTGCGTGTGTGGTTACAGGCACCTAGTGGGGTGTGTATTAGGCATCTAGTGGCGGGGGCTGAGGTTACAGGCATCTAATGGGGTGTATGTGAGGCTGCAGGCATCTAGTGGGATATGTGTGGGGGGGGGGGGGGGGGGGAA